TTGTATCTCCAGAACGGCTTGACCGATTTTATTTTTTCTTGGCTCAAATTACTCGTGGCAATGTCCGCCTTTCAGGTTATATTACGTGCAATTCAAAATTTTTTATATTTTAGTAGTTCTACACCCCCAAAAATGGACTTTGATGGTGCAGGATAAGGAGACTTGTAGTGTCTTTTAAGGTCTTTTAGGGTTTAAACATGGCCGGAGATACTACCGCGTCTCCTAATATGCCTTTGTGTGGTTAAAAAATTCCTGATAGAATTAGCTACCGAAATCCTAGTTGTTTCACGTAAGTTAGAAGGAATCCTGTCAATACTCACCTCTAGACTTTTAACTATCTCAAGTGCGGTACTAACACAATCCCTCCCAACACCTTGTTGTATTGGTAAACCAAAATTATCACCAAGGCTTAACAGATCAAGTACTTTATCCGGTATCACTTTATTACTTAGATTACTAACCCACACAGCACGAAAGGTTTCTATAAGGTTTCTGAAAGATTTCATAAAAGGATTGAAACCTTTAAAAAAGCTTTAAAAAATGTTTCTAAAATGTGTAAATGTCCGTTTTTGAATCCATCAGTAATGTTTTCAAAAATCTTTTGTAAACCTTTCCATAAACATTTGAAAAGCATTTCTTAAAAGTGTACAGAAACATTTCAAAAAACATTTTGAAAGCAGTTTGTAAAAGCATGTAAAAAAACTATCTGGAAACGTTCTAAATACCATTCTTTAAACATTTTTATAAGTATGTTATAAATTGTTTTAAAAATCTTTCAAACAATGTTTTTAAAATGATTATATGTCCGTTTTTTAATCCATTAGTAATGTTTCCCAAAATCTTTTATAAACCTTTCAATAAATGTTTCAAAGACGTTGTTTCAAAGTGTATAGAAACATTTAAAAAAAGATTTATACAAGCAGTTCGTAAAAGTTTTCACAAAAATATCTGGAAACGTTCGAAAAACCATTCTTGAAACATTTTTATAAGTATGTTATAAATTGTTTACAAAAACCTTTCAAAAATGTTTCTATAAATGATTTTTACGTTGATTTTGCATTCCTCTGTTAATGCGAAGAAAACAATTCTTTAAAAAATGAGACTTTCCAATGATTTTTTTTATTTCTTATTATAAAACAAATACGAAACACAAATATTAATTATAATTTCAGTTTCTTACTAGAATTACATTTTTACTACATAACTATATGGCAAAATCATTAGTACATTATATAATTATAAAAAATATGCATCATTAATACTTTACATAATAGTACTTTAAACATTAGCTGAATAAAATGGTAAAGACAATTATTTTAAAAACAAAACCTTTCAATATTATGATATATCATTTTTCTAATTCGACAACGTTACTCTTAAATTATAAAAGTTTAACTTTAAAATCCATAAAATCTTATCTTCTTACATACTAATATAAATTATATAAATAATACTTCGTATAATATTATTCGCTATCTTCATCTACTAATGACGAGAATTGAAGGGGAGTAAATGCCTTTCTTGACGGCGTGCTGTAAAGAAATATTTTTGTGTAATTTATTATGAATTTTCATTCAAATTTAAATGTAATATTATTTATTATTTGAAAATTACATCGCGATTCAAATTTATCATCAATCTTAATGTTAAAATATTTAATTTATATTTATTTTAAACAAATTTCTAAGTAATAATACACTTTTATCGGCGATTAAAATACTGAGAAGCCCTTTTAAGTTTGAAAAATTTCAATAGTTTAGAGATGTTAAACTTTGTATAAAAAGGTGATTCATTAGACTTTTTTGTTAACTTTTTGTAAAAGTTATTTACTAATTGATAAGTTTGGAACGATTTTCTATAAATACGTGGAAAATTATTTATTAACTTACCCTACACGTTTCAAACGAGTTTGTTTTGAGTCCAGATAACTAGATATTTTTTTTTTATGGCTTCTTCAGTGATTGCCGGAAATGATTGTTTAGCTGCCTCTAAAAAAAATTTTTAATTTAAATTTAATGTTATGGTACCTTTTATTCTTACAATGCCCAATTATATATATTCAATTCGTACCAAACATGCATTTACAAAAAGATAACTCCTTAAAACTTTCATTCTTCATTTTAGTTTCCTAATTAATCTTTTGACCAACAAAGCTGTAATGTTTTAACGCACTATCTAGTATGGTTCTTTGGAAAATGTTGTTAATAAAATTACCCTTATTATTTCCTCCAATACTTTTCATATAATCAATCTGAAAAATAGTTATATACAAACTTAGTATTTTTTATATAAAAATTAAAATTTGTAAGCTTTATATTATTTAATGAAACCAATCAACCATTTAAAATATCATAAAAGGTAAAACCCAAACATCTAAAAAATATCGATGAATTATTTTATTTACGTGCATATTTATGATTTTAAACATGATTTTTGTTCGTAAGTAGAACATAATATTTGCACTAGCAATTTTTACTTAAAAATTATGTGTATCATATATAAATAATTTTAACAGGATGGTGAAAGTTTTGCATAGACATTTGTTTTAAATGTATATAAAATAAGAGAAATCGCATCATACAAGATAAGCATGCATATGATAAAGTGTGAAAGCGGTGGCAGTAGCGAAATGGAAAGATGCATCAATTTCGTTCAATATAATCGTAATGTAATTGTACAAAGATTAGTAAAGCATCAAGATATTATAGCATTCTTGCACCACTCTTTTTAATTACCTATATGCATATGTTTGTATACACAGGTTTGTATACACAGATTTGTATATTGGTATATTGTGCAATTCACATTTAGTACAAGACACATCTATATGGAAAATGTATGTTTATAATTATTCTATGTACAGTCAGCGGCGATTAATTCTGTCACCCCCCGTTTGAAAATATTTTGCGTGCGAACAAAATGTGGCAACAGCGCGTATGGGATAAGCTGTAGTTGGAGCAGTGGGTGTGTTCAAATCACGGCTGATCGCATACGCGCTGTTGTCACATTTCGTTCGCGCACAAAATATTTTCAAACGGGGGGTGACAGAATTAATTGCCGCTGACTGTATTACATAATATTGTGTACTATTTGTTTACATTATTGTTTCCTCCTAGAGAAAGCTTTTGTGATAGTATATTTTTTGGGTTACGAAACAAAAGATATAAATTAAAAAACATATGTTTTGAGGTTGTAAGAATTGAATTATAGTGTTTTTAGAAAAAGTCTGTACTTACCACATTGAAAGTGAAATTCTTACGTATCAATTTTTGCTCTAGTTTTTGTATGGTCTTGTTAGGATCACCGATAGGAAAATATTCTTTACATAATGTTTGCTGTGTAACTGAAGAAATTGGAGTATTTGACGTAGCTCTCATTTCATTTGACACCTTAAGTGATTTTATTAATTTGTCAGTGTTTTCTTGTTTCAACGACAACTGATGTAGATTTTTTAATAATTTTGTCTGCTTTTCTAAAAAAAAAAAATTTTACATTATAATGTAATGACATTTTTTACAAAACTATATATAGTTTACAAAACTATATAGAGTTTTGTAAAAAATGTTATCAATTTTGTACTATATTATTATTATTATAATACTACAACTGTTAATATATTATTACTTGATATATTACGTAATACTTCTAATAACTGTGAATTAGTAGGTTCAACAATTTTTGACTCTACACTTTCAGGCTTTTGTAAAATTTGTTGACCCGACATTCCATTATCCGAATCAATGGATGGACCAGCTTAAAAAAATATGCAATATAAGTTAGTTGAAAATTGTCTTGTACACCGTAAAAAGTACCGATTGAAACCGCCTACATTATTTAAGGCTGATAATCTTGTAACTTGCGTTGAACGATATGAAAAATGTATTAAATGTATTACTGTACTTTCTCACATACAGTATTATATTATCTTTATATGCAACACGTGATTTAATATCGTTGAACGTGAGTTTCAATTTTACGATCTTATAATTAATACGAATGCGAGGGAAGCTAACAATTACAAACGATGTAACGCGAAAATTTAACGCTCTCGATAATAATTCTCCTTTGGTACTTTTTACGGTGTAATAATTCGATGAAACGTAGCTTTATTTTCATGCAAGTTTTAGCAATATTTTCAAATCAAAATAATTTTATCACTACATATTTTATGGACTACTTACATTCTATAGTACTTGCGAGACTTCTTTTATCAGACGCCGTAAGTAATTTATTGTACGATGAATTAACACCTGATGATTTGTGTCTTGGCAATTCCATTTCGATCTCACCTGAAGTAATGCTGTTATCATCAGAATGTTCGCGTGAGTTATACTCATCACTATCATCATGATCAATACTAAAGTCAATTTGATCACATTGCGTCTTACTTTCTCTTGTCATATTGTTTACGTTAAGTGTAGGTGGTACGTATGAGTTTTTCTGATTTACATCTTCATCACTTTTATCAGTATCTTTGAAAGATTTTGATGCAGATGTTTTATCGACCTTACTTTTTTTTGTTAATGGTTCTTGTACATAATCTTTCATAGATTTACTCTTTCTTTTAGCTCTACTTGTTTTTAATTTCATTGCATCATTTGCATCACTTAACTCAGAAATACCATCAATATTCAAGAATTCAGTAGCTTCTATGTAACTATCTACAATTATATGAATTATATTATATTAATAATATATACCTACTTTAAGAATTATATATTTATTATGTATTTCGAAAATTACCATTTTCTTTGATGATTTTTAATATGGGAATTTTTTCCCAATCATTTTCAGGGATAATCTTATCTATTTTAGATTGTTTCAAATTTACAGATCCGTCTGGAGGAATTCGAACATGTTTCAAATCCTTTGTAATCCACAAAGAAGGATACACTTTCTTTTTATTAGAAGAATCGTGAATAATAACATACTCCTTCATTGCTAATTATCTAAAACATTATAAACAAACAATTCAGCACTATCTTTTCATTGATTTGGACATTCCGATGCTCTAAAAGTTATTTTTTTTGCTTCCTTCAATAAGCTTAGTGGTAGTAATTTTTTTTATTAAACATCATAGAAATATGTTTTCATGTTATAGGGATTAAAATATTATTAGAATAAACGGGTGTAAGTACGAATGTGCGTGTGCGTGTGTATACATGTGTATGTGTGTCGCACCCATATCTTGCAAATCTCGGCACATATTTTTTGTCTTTTTGTGTGTATAAATAGATAGTACAATAAAATTTTAGATATATACTTTATTAGTTACAAAATTACCCGAAAGTGGTCTTTAAAAATTAGTTTTTTGAATTTAAAGGTTTTGTTTAAAATATAATTTTGATAACCTAAATATCACCGTTTTTCAAATTGTTACCCACCATTTATTTAACTTAACCTAACAATTCTAATGTAAAAATGTAGGAAATATGAAGTGACTTACGTGACTACATGCTGTGTCTAGGTTCTATATATATACAGGGCGTCTCATTTTATAACATATATATTTTATTTAATATACAATTTATTTTTCAAATGTTTCGAATGTATGAATTAACGGATTTGTTACATAAACATTTCCCGCACAGGGAATTTTAAATACTTTAGCATTTATGCAATCTAAAGACCAACTTTTAATACAGTTTTCAGACTCTTTTACAATTTTAATGCCCAAAGAATCGCTTGGTAACCCATCTATAGTGAATAATTGGTTTTTATTCTCTAACTTTGTTCCTATGATGTATACAATATCATTACTTTTAGCAATATTCAAAATATTAATAATAGATCCATTTTTTAAAATCACACAATTATTTCTGTCATCACTAATATCTATTTTACATGATGGTGTTATTAACATTTTAAACTGCGATTCGTATTGACGATCGGTAGTTAACATTCCATTATAATGTTGTTTCTCAAATCGAATATCATTATTATCAAAGCACTTTTTAAAATTATGAACTAATTCATACTCTCCAATTCTTCTTGCAAGTTGTTGCAACGGCTTCTCTCCTTTTCTAATAAATTTTTTTAAAGAGCAAATATAATTTTCAAATGGGAAGGCGCTGTAGAAATCGAGAGGACCAAACTTTTGTACATCCTTACTTAAATGTATCGCATTGTGAACATTATACATGTTACATTTCCACGACCATAAATCTTTTGAAAATCATAAACAAAATGAAGTAATAAATTTTCAGCAAATTTAATATTTTCAATGTTTTGTATTAGCATTTTATTTGACAATATAACAATCGCAGTGTGTAATTTTAAAAAATGTTCGTAAACTTTTGATTTCAAAATATCTTTCAATACAACCGGACCAAAGTAAATCAGAAAATGTCTAAATTCAGTGGCCTTCCAAATTTTATAATATTTTAATGATCTTGAGCGTCTGTTAAATTCGAAAGGTAGTACATACTTTAAATTTTCTAGCCTTTCTGAAACTAATGCTATTTGTTCTGCAGATAGTTTATACATTTTACTCCTTCTGCCTTTATTACCAATCCAATGTCGTATTAACTGTTTCATAACACCAAGATAAACCAAGTGCATACAATCTAAAGTTACATTGGAAACTAAGCCTACTTTAGGCAATTCATTTAAAATTGTAGATCCACGTTGATAATCGCCTAAATACTTTAAATTTTGAAAATCATTATCAGATCTTAGTGAATCATTACATAGCTTCAAAAGACTTTTAAAGGTTTTCACTGGAAAGCATACACAGTTTCCGTAGTCACCCTCAATAACACATTTGCTACAGCTAAAATAGCCAGAGGGATACTTTGTGCACAAAACGTACGATTTAGCCGGAGCATCGCAATTGATAATTTTAATGAAGACTTTGTATATTTTGCCATTATGCAAGAATCCATCATTTATAAGTTGTTTCGCTTCTTCTACGAACGATCTTAACAGATTGTTTTGATCTTCAGGTTTGTGTTCACCATAATAAACTCCAGAAAGGTGTACAATATTTAAAAGAAGATCTTTCAGTAAAATTAGCCATAGACCTTTTTCATTTGATCTTCCTGTAATCGGAGCACCATCAATATTAACGGAAAGATTAACGCTATCAAATTTGTGTTTGAGTAAAATTCTACATTCGATTACTGTTTGAACAAAATTTTTAACTCCCAAGTGACAGTATTGTCCATTTTCCATATTAACAATATTTGTCACTCTAGGTGTTTTTAATAAAGTACGAGAGTCTTTGGGAAAAACCGTATCGGTATATTTCTTTAGAATGATTAATAATGCAGCAATAGCGTTATGTTTTATTTGAAAATTTATTGCCCATTCAGCAATTTCTTTTCGAAACTTATCATCCTTTGTCACTAGATTAAAAAAGTCATACACATCTTTATCGTCATTACTTTCGATGTCAGGAATGCTTTCTGCGTCACTATCGCTATAACGATAAACGTCATCCTCAGAGATACCACTCTCATCGTCTACATGATTACTATTTTCACCATCTGAATGATGTAAGACACAAGCATCTGCGTTTAATTGTTGAACGTCAGAGTTGTCACTTTCGTGTGTATAATTTGAATCGATGTAGCATATATGCGGTGCAACATTGAGTATTGGAGATTGGGTGCCACTTTGAATTTGTGGTTGCAAATTTTCACTTTGCATAGACGATTGTTCGGATACGGTACCTTCTACTGCCGATTTGGAACTAATATTTTTATTTTCTACAACCGCTGAATTTTTAATTTCCATTGAAAGTGTGATAGATACTGCTTCATTTTCAGAATCATTATCTTGACTAGAAGTTGAAAATGTATCAATATCACGTAAATCTTCTTCCATACGTTGACGTGCTAATCTTCTAATATGTCTTTCGGATATAGGATTATCTTTCGCTTTTCTTTTTCTTGGCATTTTAAAGCTATTCTGCAGATCAAATTATCCTATATTACAATCGCTCTTCTTCGATAATACACTAAGATTGTTAAGACATGCTTAAAAAACATGCCTTATACAACTACTCAATAAAATGTCTACTCAAGACAACAAAATAACCGATGAAATTTTGAAATTGGTATTAGTTGTAACATTCTAAGATGAAATCATTAAATTAACACACAAACACACACATCTACCCAAATCAATTTACTTTAGATATTTACTAAAATTAATATATATTTTGACAACTTTTAGTCTAACTTCTATGATGTTTTGTAGAAAAAATGAAAAATATGTAATAAGTGGAGAGAAGGAAAAACTACATAACAAATTATTTTTCTATTTTGTAATTTGTCTTTGGCATTTACTAAAAGCCAGATATAAAGATGCATATTTTACTTTATATTTATCATTCATAAATAGATTGGATAAAAGTGATCAATTTTAGAACAGTAAAGAAGAAAAATGACTTTGTAACTTATTTAAAATGTCATAGATTTATAAATAGAAACATTTTATTATGTTAAAAGACCACAAAATAGTTCTTTCTAATAATTATTTAACTTTCGTATTGTAATATTTAAAACTACAAAATACATGCATGACAACTTCAAAACCTAATTAAATTTAGTAGTTACTTTATAATACTTGTGTAATAATTAAATTAATGATTATGAAATAATATGTAGATTACACTTACACAGAGTTTCCAATACAGATAGCAAGCAGCAAATTCAGGCAAAAATGGAAATCTATTTTGATGTTATAGCTATATGCGATTGATGCAGAAACTGTAAATATGAAACAAATATTTAAAATTTGAATATCATAAAATATGAATTGAGAAAAGATGACAAGCAAGAAATAAGAAAACAATTTTTTGTAAAAAGTGATTATCCGAATGTAGACAGACATGAACAAAAATTGTAATAAGAAGAATAAAAGAATCATAAGAATATATATAACAATAGATAAAAGCACCAAAGCTAGAGAGATCAAGAGACACGGTAGTGTCTCGCGACCAGTTAAGGGCGTAGCGGAGACACCGTGTATCTTAACGCGAGTCGGACATTTGAGTCTTTATAATATTTCGAATCCTCAATAATGGCTGAAGCAATCGAGTTTATACTAGACTTAATCGATAGATTGAGTTCGAATTATATAATAAAAGTGTCTTTATTTCTGCTCTACGTGATTTGTAAGCAGAGATATATAAATGCAAAGTCGAAATATGAAAAATTTCTATTAAGAAACGTCCCCGTCATCATTATCATCATTATCATCATTATCATCATCATTATCATCATCGACCACGTATAGTAGTATCGTGCTACACGTATTCACACGTATACAACACATGCGCACACATATATCACACGTACACAACACATGCAAGATGCATGTAGTGGTAATTTTGTCCATCTCGCACGTTTTACAACAGATGGCGATAGTGGCGCTCCGCTGTAGCGACTTATAAATAAATTCTCCAGATCTTTGAAAAAGTAATGTTTTTCATTGAAAGTATAAAGCGAAAGAACAAAAAGAATTAATATGTAACAAATAAATGAATGAATGTGTTGTTATGGAAATATTGATTTTTCTTAAAAACATTATGTATATTAATGAATTGAAGTTATTACAAATGTATAAAGATGTAAAAAAATGTAAAAGTGCAGTGAAAAGTGTAAGGTGTAATAAAAGTGTAGAGTGTAAATGAAAGGTGTGGATGATGAATGCTACAGTACTCCCCCCCAAGTGACGATATTCGTTGCGAAATGGACTTTCTTCTTCTTTGGTAGGTAGGTGCGTAAAGCTTTTCCAACAGTAGAAGAAGAAGAAGGATTTGAAGTAGCAGAAACAGGAGCTGAAGTAGCAGGAACAGGAGCTGAAGTAGCAGGAACAGGAGTTGAAATAGCAGGAACAGGAGTTGAAATAGCAGGAACAGGAGCTGAAGATCTGGTAGAAAGTTCAGTAGAATCTGAAGTTCTAGGAATGAAGGCTGGCTTGAGACGTTCTGTCG